TGGTCAACCGAAACATCTTATCCGCAAAATTGGCTGGGTCACATCAGTACTAAAGCGAATCCATCGACCTAACTGGGGATCGCGAACCCGGGACCTCATAGGTAGAACGTCAGAATGCAACCTACTCGGCCACCCCGGGGCAGCTGATAGAACCGCTTTTTTCATTCGCCATTTACACGATATAACACTGCTTATCTTTGCGAGCTTGTACAGGGCATCGTGCCACGCTCAGCTCAGTACTAGCCTGTGGGATGATGACTTGGTTGAGAACTTTCACAACCTGACTACTTGATGTGGTGACTTCTGACCCACTCAACTCTACCATCTGTTTGTCTATAGTCCTGGTGTAGTTTGCGACAGTAACTATCCACGATGTCCGCTCATATCCAAGCGTGCAATGATCACTGTAAAATTTCGACCCACTTGTCACCTGAGATAGTAGAAGTTGTCTCGTGCCTTGGTCCGAGGGGAGATCCCTCGTCGAACTCCACGTTTGTTCTTTGAGTTACACCAATGTGGATTACGAACACGGCACGGCGATCGATGAATTTTCTCCAGCAATGTTACGTATACTGGTATCGAGGGTTTTTTCCAGGTGAATAAATTTCCTTGTTCCAGTTCAGACAGCCTTGAAGCGCATGCCAATCTTTTGTTACGACAAATGACGAGTCCATGAACTCAACATGGATGCATGACTTTGGTGAGCATCAATCATCAACCGTGTGCAATGTGAATATCGCTCTTTTTTATAGCTGGGCCTCACTCAGCACATCTGAGTCATGAGTAGTGAGCTACTGAGTGAACTTTACTCACAACACTCAGATTGGATTCTGTAGCATTTTCTTCGGTCAATGAGTTTATCAATATGATAATCGAAATCCGTTTGGTTTTTGGTACACAGTACGGAGCTTTGCCATCAATATACCAAATTTGATAAACCTGGATGGTTTGGTCACCGAGACGTTGCGAGAACCCCGGATGTGTGTATGGGGGGGGGATAGCCTTTCGTGCAATATACACAGATTATTGATGTATAAGAAGTGTAGGGAATTATAAGTATTCAATTTTCGTCAAAGTGCAAGTGAACGATCATATAATGAGCTCGAGGGAACACAAAGAAATGTGAAAGATAATCCGCAGTTCACTTGTGTTACGAACGCGTAATCTTTGTGTCGCGCTCCCGATCATCATCGTCATCATCATCGTCATCATCATCATCATCATCATACTGATTGTATCGACTTGATTGGAAAAATTAATCACGCCACATGCTTTACTCCGGTTCGATTCGATTAACTGTGCACTCGGGTGACCCATTACACAGATGACCTTTGAATGTACTTTGCTCATCACCATACCCCGACTTTGGTCCGATGACATACTTTGTACTGTGTTTTTATTGTTCACATACCACCTCTAAGCGTTCTTCGTCCCTCTCATTTCTGCGTCATCTACCCTTATCGTCCTTGAACTCTCGCTGTTCCACACTTGCCATATCCGTGCGTCATTGCATACGAACTACCCTGGATCCGTTTCCCCACCCACGTTTGGCTCTAGTTGATTGTCACCCAGTCCTCTTTATGTTGACCTTCATATTTGATCATTCGCTTCATTTGCTTAGCAGACTGCTTTGTCTCATGGGATCCCGTGTACCGCTCGTGTGCCTTGCATTGATCAATGACTGCGCTTCATTATCGAACACTTGCGGTTGGTGTTTCTATCCCTTAAATTGTCCCTTTTCTAAGCCTAGTTTGCATTCTTTTTGGTGATCGCTTAGCGGGTGCTTTGTTCTGCGCTTTGATCCGCTTTGTATCTTGTTCTTGTACCGTGGAGACCGGATTGGCCCACAGTTTGAGGTATGGTGTTTGGTTTTGTACATATTTGTCTGCTTATAGTACACGTAGATTACCGACTTCTCGTTATCTATCTACGAGTCACTCAACCACTGGACGACAGTCCGGTACACTGATCATATTTTTGCTGAATTTCGGCCCTCCCCCCCCCGTGCCTTCGCTCAAATGGAAATGGAAGTACGATGGGATTATAGTTTTTCCGACAAATTTGTATCATATTACATATTTTCTGTGTGCCTTGATCGGAGTTCGAAAGCCTGAATGCACGGGGTACAGTCTCACCCTATGAGTAGTGATTTAAAAGTTGAGGCAACGCGTTTCTTGTGGCCCAGTCTTCTCACGATGATCTATAGTCAAAGCTCTTATAGTTTATTTCGGTTGATGGGAAAGTTTTAATCGGATTTATTACATCTCAATCTTTATTGTTGATGTCTCCTGGTCGTCCCTTTGGGATTTGGATGAATTGTTCTGTCAGGCATGATTGAAATCTCATTGACCGACGATACTGAAACTGATGAAATTCTGTGGTTCATATTTTGCGGACTATACTAGTCCGAATTGTTGTGTCAAACAAAAACGACGGTGTGGTGGGTATTGGAAATGAGAATGTATACGGTCCTTCAATCTCGTTGGTGGCGCAGTGGTTTAGTTGCTGCCACCGGTGTGCTTTGGACCCTGTGGTCCGAGGTTCGAGCCCCGCCACCGCCGCCCAACTTTGGTAGTAGGCAGCTTTGCTATACCACGCCTGAGCTATCAGAGCCTTATGCGGTTAGCCACTCGAAGTCCCGGGGCTTAGATTGCCGGTTACCATCACCGAACAGCAGGTCTCCGTGACTATGAGGTCCACCCCGACTGTTGCTCATCACATACTGGCATGTAATAAAAAAATCCTGTTCACTACACACACATGGGATAGTAAATGGAACGGTCCACTATCAGATGCGCATTCTTGTATTCACCATAGCGAACAGTAGCAGTTCGCTCCAACAAGGTTGGTTCATTTTTGGTAGTTGAAAGAAATCGCTAATCGTAACTTTTTGCGTACTACTCACAAATGAGTACTATCTCAACACTATCACTGCAATTCAGCTCATCTGTTTGAATCCGATAACGACTGGCTCTCTTCTCTGAAAGTTCAGTCTGTAATCTGACGAAATAATTTTCGTACTTTGTGGAATATTTAGAGGAGTTCCATTTTTTCACCACATCAACACATGTAGGATCGGATGTGGTTTCATTCATTAATTGCGTGTGCTGAGTCGAACGGAAACAGATCACATTCCATAAAGGCGAATAGAAAATAGGTCAGGAAACTGAAGAATAAATATCAGTCAAAGAATGAGCCGGAGGAGGAGGAAATTCGTAATTCGAATTCTGGACACATCGATTGAACATCATTCTGATTGACTGTGGTGATCGGGGCCTACGAGATGATGCGTTACAGTTTTCGGACAACTGCGATCAATCCAACTTCACAAGTGACATCAACAACGCGCGTACGTGTCACTGCTTCTGACCACATACCATAGGCAGATCGTATCAGCCAATCAGAGACTGTGCGGTCCAGATAGAAGCAGAACGATGCAAGCAATACTGGAACGCGATTGGTAGAAGCCCGGATAACCAATGAGCTTACTTTGTACATATTATTTAACCCCCTTTTTGTCTTTCAAGAAAATGAACGACTACTGCCGTGATCTTCTCGCGTCTCCGTTAAGTGGGATATTGCGTGCTAGTGTCAGTGCGGTCCAGTGCTTACGTGATCCAGCCCGTGATTGATAATCTTTGATTCGTACTACTACCCAATTTCGAGTCATCCATCTATCCATTATAGTCTTCTGATATTAATTCAGAGACGAAGATTCAGGACCAATCTGATCATTTGCGGTGCAATCAAGGGCACTGAGAAATGAGAAGGGGAACCGTATGATATGCTCGAAGCCATGATGATCTGTTTTTCATACTTGTCATTTTTTGTCTTTTGTGTTCTGTGCACCAATTGTGAAGAAAGCCTCAGTTTGATCGGGGGTGGAGGGTGGATGGGGTGTGTTGGGTTGCGGCCGGTCACTTCTATCTGACAGCTCACGCGAAATGCTCCCATACGACCAAGCGTCTCATATTAGCCAGTTCTGTTGACGAAGCCCTACTCACTGCCTTCTCATGAATCGGAGGTGTTTTCCCACACCAAAGTGAGAGGACGAAAAGCCAAAATCCGGGGCTACAATCGGGTTGGTGAACCATCACTGGTAGCACACCTATGGGAGTTGGGTAAAAACCCTGATTTTAAAACAAAACAAGACGAGGCATACGAACCACACAGCCAAATCTTCCGGGTAGTGAGGATGGTCACCGGCTTGACTGGGTATTGTATTCATTATGTTTTTTGAAAATCCTTCCCAACCCCCACTGTTTTATTTGTTTATTTTCGCACAAACAAATACCCACACATAATTGTTTATCCGTTAACTCGATACTCGTCATATTTCACTTTGTCAAGGAGAGAGAACGTGATCGACTTGTTAGCTCTCGATGGACATCTTATTTACTTCTCGATTGCTTGACTGTTTTTGGGCCGCATATTTGAGGTTTACTTGGCTGTACATTTTGTAATGATTTTCTTTAATCTAGTATCGTATTACACTACAAATCAGTTGTGTTTTGTTTTGGGATTCGTATCGATTTGGGCTAAGAGTCACTCAATTGTGATTTGGTTGACGTACAGACATCAAGGTGTATTGGGCACCAAGGACATCTGAGCCTATCCAAAAGATGTATGCTCTGATGAACTGGACACCGGCCCCCATCCACCGCCCGGTTACCTTATTGGTCAGACTTTATCTTGTCCAAGTCTTCGGTTGTGAATTCTCCAAGTAAATTCACCTGATTTGGCCTGGGGCAACTTAGCAGAATTGCGCCAAATCGCGCAAATCACGTTTTATAAGCATTAGTGTACCGTGATTTGTTTGGCACACAGTCTGAACTCAGGCGCTTGTGTGTGTGTGTGTGAGAGAGAGAAAAGCACTTTTCACAAAACGGTCTTTACTAATATTCGCATAAACTGTAGCGAAAAAAGTAGCAGATAAAAATGTGCCACAGCGAGTTGGCGGGCGGACGATCAATAGAACCAAGAAATAAAGACGAAAACATCTACCCAGATTTTCTATAGCACAAATATGTTCGCATATTTCCTTTACCCTTCACAAAAATCTCATCCCGATACTCAAACCGAAAATGTTCGGCCAATTCCTCGGCCACAGCCTGCGGGACTTGTATCTGTCCGACCAGTCCGGTCGAATACATCCGACTGGCCACATTCACCGTGTTCCCCCAAATATCGTACATCGGTTTGGTGGTCCCAATCACCCCGGCAATCAATGGTCCCACATTGTAACCAATTTTGATCTCGAACTGATCGGTTCCAATAATGTACATATTATTGAACTCATCCAACGAATCAATCATCAGATGACAATAGTTCATCAGAGCACACAGATGTATCTGATTGGATCGATTCCGTCTTACCTCTTCCCGATTGAGTCCGGCCGCGACCATATAACAATCATTGATTGTTTTCACTTTTTCCACATCTTTCATATCCGGTCGGTCTAGTAGTTCATCAAACATGCACACAATACTATTTAACAATTTGAGCGCATTTTCACCCCCCTTATAATCTTCACGATAGTATTTAGAGAAAAAATTCGAAATTGTCGCAAATGCGACCCCCGCATGAGGTATGGCCACAGCGTAACTGAATCCCCGTTCAGCTCCGTACACTTTCAAATGATCATGCACATATTTGGGAATAATGTTGTATAACAGATCGCGGGCCTCGTTCATCGCCTGTTCCGCTTCGTCCACCGCGATCTCAGCCTCACGGGACACGTAAAAACACAGTCGACAATTTCGTTCATTCTCACGACTGACAAATATGACTAAGGCAGTGCATAGCCACAGTTCCACATTGAATACAAGACAGAATTTCCCATAGGCTATCCCGTTGATAAAGAATGTCAGACTGAGACACTTTTCCTCGTCCGACTCCAATTTGTCCATACATTTGGACGCGTGTGTGATGAGGCAAAATGTGCACAACACGCACAAATTCCGTGCCCACGAGGCTGAGGATAAGGGGACCGTGTGAATTAGGAGACTGTGAAAACACAATGCGGACAATAGACGACGCTTGCCGACCAGGATCGCGGTCGATCCGCACAGACCACTGAACAGGGACAAAATCACCGTAGGTGTTAGGGTAATACTGGCAACGCACAATTCCCGTACAAGCGGACGAATTAAAATCCGATATGTTTGACGAAGTTTGACCGAATCCAGATTGTCTTCGTAAGTGCTCGATATGAATAGCAGACATGAACTGGCAATCGAACAGACAATCAGGGTGACTAGGCTAATCACATAGAATGTGATGGGTAGTACTTGATAGTCTCGTTGTAAATTGATACAATTGATCAGAACGCATAAGGTGATCACGAAACACACAATCACATCACAAATGGGGGCCACTTTTTGCGAATCCAAATACGTGCGACGAGATGAGTCGAGCAACTGTGAATGATAGTGCCACTCGGTTTCCCGATCAAAGAACGACAACAACACCGGATAGACTGGCAGGTGACTGAACAGTCGATACTGTTGAGCTGGATCGTTTTGTAAATTGTGTACCAATGAAATATCCCGATCAAATTGTCGCATAACTTGTTGCGGATCGCTGGTCTCCGGTTGATCCGCACGTATCCAGGATCCGCGCGCCGCGGCCACATAGTCCGGTTCCGCGATCTCCTCCGATTCGGGGTGATGAAAAAAGTTCTCGATCGGTGCGATTCGATGGGACGATCGAAATGACGAAACGCGCATGGTGGATCGTTGATCAATGAATGAGCGTAATCCCAGTTGGGCTGTACCAAATCGTTCGTGTTTTCGTCGGAACTGGGAAGAACGCGGATCTACATAGTACGTATTGATATAAGTAGTCACTAAAGCCATACCAGCGATACCGCATACTTCTTCTTTTTTCACGGCTAACGGTTCACCGATAGAGAAATTGTAGATAGTTTTCACTTGTTCAAATGTTGTCTCGGAGATGTGAACACGACCGGCACGACCGGTACTTTCCAACGCGGATGCGATAATCACATCGTACGAGTAGACATCGAAACGAAATCGTTGCGAACCAATAATGGCCGCATTCACTCGACCTGTATGCACCCCGATACGCATCCCGACAGATTCGTGAAAATCACAATTAAACACTTTAATCACCCGACACATTCCCAGACCCATTTCGATACAACAAATTGCATGATTTTGTCGTGGCACAGGACATCCGGAAACACAATAATAACAATCACCCAAAGTGCCAATCTTTTCACATTTTGTCGTTTCGCATAGTTCGTCAAATCGATTAAATAAATTATTCAACATGGTCACCACACAATGTGCCGTTTTGTTCGAACTCATCCGGGTAAATCCGACAATATCGGCAAACAGGATACTGACATTGTCAAATGTTTTGTTGAAAATCCACATTCCGGTATTTTGGTGCAAATTTTTCTGTCTCAATGCTTGATACTCCTCCCGGATCACAGAAGGCATAATTGCTTCAATCCAACGAACCTGACCTTGCAAAGCTGTATCACATTCACGCCTGGCCTGAACACTTTTGCCCAGTTTGAGAAAAGCCATCCGACAACGAATCATATTCCAAAATCGTAAATACAAACCAATCACCCCGACCGGAATCCAGGACATGATTTGTGTATAGACCACCTGATGTGTCCTGGTCAAGGTGTATGTCCGGTTGCTGATACGCAGTCTCCGGAACAGATCGTAATGAACCCAATTCAGTGTAGCATTTGGGACTGGATTTTCAAACCGTTTCGATGCATGAAACACTTCCAAACCGGCCGCGGTAATCACGAACATGGCCGAGATACAAACACACAAGGCCACTCGAAGTGGAAGCAAAGCAAACATGCCAATAATTAGCACAATCCCGGCCGAGTACAGACCGTGATCTTGACGAGTGATCACTCCACGAAACCAGAAGGTGACCACGGCCAAACTGAGACAGAGTAGGAAAGAACAACGCACATACGTCTGATGAGTGGGATTTTTCATTGTGATCAAATAAGCCAATAGAATGGGCCCGTACATTGCGATCACGCGGGTGAGAGTGATCAAGTGAGTATTCGGATCGCGTACGGCAGCCTCGTAGAAAAAGACCAGAGTCAGATAGAAGATGTATTTGAGCACCAGACGGAATCGAGCTTTGGTACGACTGAGCATCACCTCATCGTGATAGTTAGTCAATCGGGTCGAATGGAATTGAATCACATCGGACACTCTGTACAGACTGGTCCCGAATCGCTGAATCACCGAGAACCATGACTGATGCGGTTCTTCGAATAGTTCCATCAATTGATGCCCGTGTAGAATGTTATGATCCAGATGTGAAATTTCATCTTCACTTCTCGGTGATATGGCAAATTCACTTTGACTCAATCTGTCCATCATAGAGACGGGGCAGTTTGCATGCGATAATACACACAGACAGACTGTGTACATTTCAAACAGCCCAATGCCTAACAAGTGGCACATTACAACGAGATCGATAAACAGATCACAGTTTCACGTGATCTCTATTGAACAATGATTGTAGTCAGATTAAATTGTTGTCCCTTCGTGAGCGTGAAGCTATTTGACTCCCAACACCGACACAGGAAACACTCGTCAATTTCGATTAATTCCCGAAGAAACTAAGAGGCGACACTTGATCGACCACTCTGTGATCCACAAAGTAAAACATGATAGGACTTGCGTGTACTATACAAGCCCAGACCAACTGAACTCCAATCCGTGCTCGATGGTAAACAGACACTGGTTCTGCCTTCGTCTGGAAAGCAAGCGCTAATCGGAATCTGAGCCGTTTTCAACCTAAACGAACCGGCCATCAATTTTTAGTGCACGTAATCTGATCGATCTAAAAAAAGCACAACGGCACAGATGAGGGCAATGTGAAAAACAATTCCAACAACTTTATAGTCAATTGTTTAGGGTAGTGAGGTTATGCTGACCAATCGCGATTATACTATGCGTATATCATGTGCTTGTTTCCGGTATGACTATTCTTCCATTTGAAGAGATCCCCCGAGTCACGAAAGATTGAAACAATCAGTGAAAAAATAATGTATACGTACGCGTCCTCATGGTCGGTTTCGAAACAAACGTTTTCGCCAACTCAATTATGTGAACTACCAGTGGTCCACCAACCCAGTTTTAGCCCCAGATGTCGGCGTTTTTTCCTCTCACTTTGGCGGAAAAACACCTCCGACACGAGAAGGCAGTGGGTAGGACTTCCTCAGCAAAGGCTCTTCGGGATGCTTGGTCGTATGGGGGCATTTCGCGAGTTGCAAGGGAAGAGTGACCAGCCGCAACCCTAGGCACCCACCCCCGACCATACTCAGGCTTTTCGTGTTTTCGTTCGGCGGTTTTAGTTGCTGTCTGTAGGCTGACCATTTGGATATTAGAAAATTAGAAAAAATCACAGAGAATACTGAATAAATAAATGTACAAGCGCTACCGCGGGCTACACTCGGCCATATCTGTCAGTGTCTCTAGCCACCGGTCACAGTGATCCCGAGATCCCCATCCAGGGAGCCCAACGGGATCTATATGACCGAGTCTTCCGGGTCGAAATTTTATATCTTCATGTCGGCGGATCTTTGTTTGACCCCATTTGACCTGTTTACATCCAGTACCTACACCAGCAAACACCGCGTTTACTATGTGGTCTGTTCATACTTTACCGGTGAAAACAACATGAATTATTGTGCCTATGGAGGGCATTCTCATCCCCTCGCGTGTTATCTCTTCCCTATGCTGGGTCAGGGTTGAAACAACCGCTTCACTGGGAATACAGTTTGTTTTCACTGTTTTACGATGTTAACAAAAAAAATATTTATCTAAGGAATCTAAGAATTCCAGCTGACCCAGAGGAATTCGATATATGGTTGAAAACCATGATCGTGTGTGAAGCTCACCAAGATCTGGGTATCCAAAGTAACGTGTGATAAGTTCCACTTACGCACAACCCCTCCCCCCCCCTCACCCAAACATTCGATTTATACTACACCTTTTCCCATCAAGCTTTAGCCAAAACCCGCAATCCTTTAGCCTCGACCCGCAATCCTTTAGCCAGAACCCACAATCTTTTAGCGAAAACCCACAATCCTTTAGCCTTGACCTACATTCCTTTAGCCAAAACCCGCAATGCTTTAGCCACGACCCGCAGTCCTTTAGCCTCGACGCACAACCTTTGGTCACACCGCTGTAAGCGAGTCAGAACAAAAACTATCGGTATATTCTGAGATCAACGAATGTACTGCCTTTAACACGTGCGCAATGCATTGAATAGAATGACTCAACGATGGAGAGTAATTGCCCAACGAAATCCTCAGATTATTGGCACTGGTGTAACTTTCGAACACTTCACAAATTCGACCGGTTCTCCCGATTATGGCCCATTTCCCAAAAAGGGATAATGGGCAACTGCGTTCACCTTGCCCTACCTGTGCTGAATTGGAGTATGATCTATTCGCTGTTTCACTTATTACTTGTCGATATAGAGCACTTTTGTTTCGAAAATGAGCTCTGTACTATTGTTGTTTATAATTTCCAAAGTCTATTATTGATCGACGTTTATTCAAACAAGTGCAACTAGATTTCGCGACATTCGAAATTTCACCGAACTCATGGACTTCGAAAGATCATTTCATCAGAAGGTAACATTCACTTTTATCATGGCCAGGTCATTGGATTTTATTGTTCAAACATACAAACAATCTGATGTTGGGATCAGTGATTTTCCGATCATGGCAAAAACCCTAAAATGTTTCACATTTACAACCCCACCTCCTCTCCACGCACCGCCCGCAAATCGGACATTTCCCCCATCCGGGAGGGAGCATGCCTAATCAGATACAGCTCTACGCGATGATACATTTCACAGCTGATTTGTGGTGGTTTTTTCTCGACATTTCGGGGGTACAGTTAGAATGGTTGTCGAATGCAGGGGTAAACAGGTGTCAAGCTGCGAATAAGCAAACACTGTTTGTCAGTTGCAAGCCCATTTTTCACCCGGTTGAAACGAGAAAGGATCCAAAATTGTTCGAAAAGTATACGCACGCATTCAGATGAGCGGAATCATGCCGCTCAAACAGTCCAGTAACCTAGGCAGAGTGATAAAACACCGAGGTAGTCGAGTTGCTATCATTCAATCACATATNCAGTCTACTTGAGAGTATCTATATACACTGATACACTCCAGGGGCACAGTACCGGCTAGATTTTGAACCACTGAAGGCCATTCGATTCACCAGACCGTGTCTTATTTACAAGTGCTCTGTCTCTTTTGGACCATTCGGCTCTGATCAGTGAAAGTAAGATGGTGACACCGAACAGGTGTGATGACACAGACTAAGCTTGATCGAATCACAAGACCAAATAAGGACTATCGTACTGCGTAATATGTGGATGCAAGAACGAATTTCTTCGTCTTGGGGCGATTCACTGATCGGTCCTATTTTCAAGAAAGGATCTGGTGACGAATGCGAAAACCACCGTGGGATAATTTTACGCCCGATCGTCACCAAAGTGTTAGCCTCGATCATACTTCGACGTTTGATTTCTCTTAGGAAGAGATCAATATCCGTGAACAGCAAACCGGATTCTGGCCTGGCCGTGGATGTATTGATCAAATTGTTACGTTGAACCAGGTCCTCGAGCTGCACCACACACGAACTTCGCCCAACCATCGCAGTGTTTCTTGATCTGAAAGAAGACTTCGACGCGGTTGACCGCTACATTCTGATGGGTTCCCTTCTTCGAAGAGGAATGCCCTAGAAATAGGTCAACTCAATGAGGTCAATGTACTCACACCTCTGGTCGAGTGAGGGTTTACAACGAACTAAGTAAACCTGCCTTGAGAAAGGTTACCCACAGTAACCGAAATGTCGACGAATATAATTCTCTACCGACCTCGCTGTGAAATTAACATTATGAAATCCACAATCATCATCTTCGTTGTACAGCGTAATAAAGTGAAGCGAACTTCACTGATCGCTGCCAAACTCATACCGCATACAAGATAAGTGAATGTGTAGGGACAGGCGCTGGGCCTATTTTTAGGGACGGGAAAAGAACGCGAACCTCTATGGTCAACACACAGAGTACTGTGCATACATACTATTTCAAGCATTCTGGTCTGATAAGAAGTGACGATATGATCACTATTGCTGTCGGTTACCAGCCATGACCTTCAGTGTCTCGGAGTCTTTTGAACCCCAACCTGGAGAACGAGAGACATATACTCTACCTAATCGCTCTGTGCATTTCTTCATGCCTTGTCCACACGTGATCTAATGGCTTCCACGTGGCTTTCTCCAGCCTGTAACAGCCACTGCAAACAAGGCGCGCTGCGGTAGGCGACCGTCGGATATAAGCAAAACCAACCAACGGAGCCTATTGAGCTGGATTCGATGCGATAGCGAGTTCTTGTTTGATGTATTCCCAAACACCCGACGACTTACGTCTAAGTTACTAACCCGCTCACTCCATCCAACCTGGACTAGACTAGACTAGACTAAGTAAGCATCGATTGTCGAACAGTACTAAACGACGGGTGTCTTCTATCCGCAAATCCAAAGTCCCACAACCGTTAAGTAGAACTGATCGTACGGTGGCGCAGTATACGCGACTTTTCAACTTTAGTGAAACGTCACGTCGCCGCCACAGGTGTTTTAGTCCTGCGTTTGCTGCTCGAGCCTTGAAAATGCTGGCGGTCATCTCCTTTGATGCACTACCGTCGTTGGTCACGCAGCCACCTAAGTAGGAGAAGCATTTAACTTCAGTTAATACTGTCCAGTTTCAGAACAGAACTCAGCGACACCCAGTCTTGAAGCATCACTTTACACTTTGAAGGTGCAAAGCACATGCCGAACGGAGCGACAGAGCTTGCTGATCTGTCAAGTGCTCTTTGTGCATCATCCATACACTGGAACAAGCAAACGATTTCGTCAGTGTACTTCAAATCGCACAGCTTTGCTCCAGCTGCCCATTCAATACCTACATTTTGGAGACCACATAGTGCATTCGCTAGTATTTCGTCTATGACGAAATTGAACAGGAATGGCGAAAGAGGGCACCATTGCTGAACACCGCTGCTAGTTACGAATGTCGTACTCAGCTAGCCGTAGACCCTTAGGCTACCAAAGGCATATGAGTAGAGTGAACGCAGTATGATTACATACTTCCGCGGCATTCCTTTGCGAAGGAGTGAACCCATAAGGGATTCACGATCAACTGAGTCGAAGGCTCCTTTTAGGTCAAGGCACACGACAACCGTTCGTCGACGGTGCGTATGGCGTAGCTGAAGGACTTGACGCAAGGTGAAGATTTGATCGACACCCGCGGTCCGATCGAAATCCTGCTTGCTGTTAGTAACTTGGTAACGATTGGGATCAAACTTATCCCACGGTGGTTTGCGCAGTCATTGCGAGATCCCCTCTTAAAAATTGGAACAATCAGTGATTCGCTGCAGGATGATGGAATGCGCTCCTGTAACCAGATGTTACGCATGACACTCACGACTACGAANTTACGATTCATGAGCAGCGCTTTCAACACAATATTTTGAACCACGGAACGCAGAAAGGTTCTTAAAAGCGATTAGTCTGTGGAATCAACTTATCATACGGTACCATCAAAATTCAGAAGAATGACCGTAACATGTACAAAAATAGACCTATCGCCATTTATGCAAAGATGTAGTATGATCTAGTGAACTTGGTTGCAAGACAGTGACCACAAAAACCCATTCATAGCCATAGTACAACTGAACCAATCACTTCATCGTTTGTGTAACTCGGAAAAGCAGGAAAAAAACGGTTGTTCACCCATGTACCAACTGCTATCGCATGCAATGTCCGAAGTGACAGTTAAGTGCAACCATGACCTCTAAGCATGTGTCAAGAATGACATAGAAAGTCAACCCGGCAACTGAAGTTCTCTGTACAGCTTCGCCCTTACGCGACCGGTGCAGTTAGCTCGGTTTCTCAAACAAATAGTGTCAACAGTGAAAGCAAATAGATCACCGGGATAACAACTTACACCCGAACGATTATCATACTCCAATTGAGGAGCTAAGTTCGAGCGCGTTCAAGTAGCGATGCACAACGCAAACTGACAGTTGCGGCATTGGTGATCAATCATTCAATAAAATCTACGATGCCAAATAATCCCCTAACACACGACGACTATCAGTTGCGGGGAGTAACGAAGCATGCATGATGCTGTTCCAATGATCTAGGGTCAGTCAGTCGCTCAGGTCGCATTTTTTATGAAGCAGAGAGACTAGTACGGTAGACATCTGACGTGACCCATTTATGGGTACACACAACTCCTGAGGCGATGACCCCTTTTATCCACACGCTGGTGTGGGTGTGTACGGGTTAAGGACAAGACAATGTTCAAATTTGAATTCATCATCATCATCATCAAGTACAAATGTCGAGACCGCAGCATTTCATGGACGCTGACGAGTGTCAGAAGCATGCATATGCGGTCTCTGTGATCTGCCATGTACACAAAGCTAAGAGAGAGAGAGAAGTGGTATTGAATACAATCAAGTGCGGATTCAATATGAATTGTGGACAAGGAGGAGGAGGAACAGGGCATGAAATGAACATGTGTGTGTGTGTGTATGGAGGTGAAGTCGGGGTGAAAGTAACGGGCAAAGAGAACCCAAAAAGAGTGGACGATGAAACACATCGTAAATGAGTTGTGGGAATTCGGTTGGTTATATATATAAAGCGCGCAAGTGTTTCGATCGCAAATCACGAGAACGTCACATCAATAGACAGTTTAAAGTGGGCGGTGTGTGGAACCTTGCGTGAGCCGATGATTGAATATGTATATTATGTGCCAAAGGATATGAGTGTAATAGTTCTTTCTGTATATGAACTTGTATCATCCGCGAAATCCCGGCTGCACGTAGGTCACAATGAGGGACAGAACAAGACAAGAGTCAAGTAAGCATGTAAGGACGAAAACCATGTGTGTATGTGTGTATATGTATATATGAGTAAGGTAAACGAAGGCAGGGACGGACGACGCTTGTCAAAGACCATCGAGTAAGAAAGAACAGAAGTAAAGGGATAACGATCGATCGAGTGAATGATGAAGGAAAATATCTGAACAGGGTAAACAACACGGAGAAACGTTTGTGTTTGTATTCCGATGAAAAGGAGCAAAGTTACATGTGTGTGTGTGCTCGGTGGTCTATCTGACCCACGAATCAGAGTTTGACAATGTTCACTGAGGGAATTTTAGGAGTAGATGAAAATGTGTACAGATGATTAGCACTGAACCCCCGTTTGCGGCTGTGTTCAGTAACTGAGTGCTCATGTCGATTGACCAGGCCAGAGGCTTCTGACAATGAGACAGAGGGAAAATAGACCAGTTCACGAATAAGAGAAAAAGTCCGAACATCCGAACGGATGTGTGTGTGTTTGAATAAAATCCGGAGTGCGTAACAGAGTTTCAGTGCTGTACAGTACTGTTTTAGCTGTAGTGCCGAGATGAACCTAACTCTGCGCGAGAGAAAGTGGATCAACCGATGGATCTGATTTGTAATGTTTGGTTGTATTGGTGGTGATGATAAATGAGTGTGCGATAATTGTTTTGCTCTTTGTGATAGTAGTCCTCATAATGTTTGAACTGGCAGAAAAATAAGATCACAATGAAAAGCAAAACGGATTTTTGAGGATGTGTATGAACAGTGTCGAAACGGCATTCACATGATAAAAACAAGAAATAAATTCACAACTGTACAATCGCGTTCTAGTATCGATTGAGGACAGGATAGGTCGAGAAAACGGGCGCACAAGTGTGCCAGCTGAGAGTGAAGGGATGTGTATGTAGATGTGCGGATTGGGACAGGGGAGGGGGGATGCAAAACCAACGCGTAATAATCTGGTTCGAGTTGCAGAAGCAGCAGCAGTCGCAGAAATAGTCAATACGTCCGATTAGAAACGTCGGTCAAGGAACGGATCGATTGACGGATGTTTTACCCAAGCAGTGGCAGTAGCAGCAAGTCGTTTCTGTGTATGTCCACGTACGTATGCGTAGTCTTGGTGTTATTGTGTATGGTTGAGTACCTAGCAGCTTCTGTCGATGCATTCATTCTGTTCCGTGCCAATCCCCAAGTCTAGCAGCAGATAGAGTAGCACGATGGACCAACCCATTCTCATCCAAGCAGGGCGGCACACGCACAAGCAAACTCACGCGAATGCAAGCAACGGTGTCCCACGATCAATAACCGAAACAGCAGGACTGAACAGAGCGAGCGAGGC